TGGGATGTTCAGGAGCATGGCCAGCGCGTCCCCGTTGAAGCGAGGTTCGAGAATCTATTAAAAAGGCAGCATATTTATTTTTTATATGGTTAAATATTTGCAATAGTAAACCATTCCAATGCTTATCAGAGGATTTCTCACTCTTACTAAGCCATCTGTCCACATTAGGACTTTTATAGCTCATGATATGAAACCAAGGGTTTGAATGGGAAATACATGAAAGGAGCAATAAGAAATGCTGAATGTGATCAGGCAAATAGGCATTTATATTTATAATTTTTTGTTTGTTTTCAGAATTTTCTGCCCTAGTCAGAGTATAAACTTAATCTTAGTACAGTTTCTTCTGTTTCATTTTGGCAAAAATTCTACAGTAGTAAATCATGGTATTTCAGAACTCTGACTTTACTTAGCTGCAAAGAGCTCTACATTATTTGAATTGAAAAAAATGTCATTCCCAGTTGCTGGCAAGACTGCTGTGAGTTCAGGATGGTTATTTACCATGGCTCAGAATTCTGGTAAAACCACTCAAAGAAACACTCCATGATGCCTTATCAATAATAAGTAACTTTCTCAAGGTACAGTTCAGGTTTTTTTATGTACGGCTGCCAAACACTTGTGCACACTCAGCTTTGGCTACAAAAAATGTTCTAGCAGTGCCTTTTTGATTTTAGCTTTCCTTTGAAAAATTAAGATGCAGGGATGAGATAAAGAGGCTCCTTAGAAGGCCTGATCACAGATGCATTTGTTTCCTCCCGCCTGACGAACATCAGGTAGAAGATTTATATTCCAGCCTGTCAGTTTTTAGTAGAGAGGTAGTAAAATGCTAAATTCTTACAATCAGGCCCCCGTGCACTCCGCTCCCTCGAAGGTTTGGTGCATATTCTGCCAGATCCACTGATCTGAGCCATTCCATCACTCGGTGGTTGGACCACTGAACCACATCAGAAGGCGACACGTTGTTCTGTTGAAGGAACCAGGAAAGGTGATGACACAACAGCCTGTGTTGTCTGAATGTGCACAGTGTGCATCCTCAGTTCAGATAAAAACATCCTTCCTCCTCTTCCCTGCAGTTCTTCCCTGACTGAGGTATTGTTGCTGTTCAAGGCCTCTTTCAGCAGCCTCTGACAGGTTGGCAGGTCTAATTTAGTACAGGTGAAACCCCATGAATTGCATCAAGTAGTGTAACAGTACAGATCAGGGGTATAAAAAGGAACCGTTCTGAGAACAGTGTTATTGACACTTAATACTAAGAGAATAAGATATGCTGGTCAGGTAAGGCAAAAACCTTACAGATTTTGAGAGTTAAAAGTTAGGCAAAGAAAAAAACATTCCAGGTTATTTCCTCAGAAGTTGAATTAACCTTTAAACTATGCAAACAACTTCTAAAGAAAAATGCATGAGGTTCAACTAATAAGTAGCTCAAACTCTTCAGGAGTGCATATATTTTTACTGTCAGTGAGTACATGTTACATGCCAGAGCTGGAAGGCAGCATGACTGCTGCTTTAGGGGCAATTCCCTAGTAGCAATGATTCTGTTGGTATCATTGTACACTGCTAACTTGCTATCCCTTTTGGCTGGAAGCAGGTACTTAGGGCTTGCTTAAATTAATTTATTTGGACATTCTTTTACCTCCTCAACCGGTCTCCTGCGTAGGCAGTGGGGGTTGAAATTGTTGACGTGCAGCACGTGAATGGCACATTTAATGCTCAGATGATGCAGCTGACTGGTGACTTTCAGAAAGAGAAGGTCGTTCTGTGAAAGAGAGAGCCTTTTAGGTGGCACAGGAAACACACCAAAACAGGTACTTTCCCCATGAAGAAAGATTTTAAACTTGCTGTGTAGTTTGATATAAATTACAGTAAGTGTGGATTAGGTAAAATGAAAGTTTGCACTCTAAAGAAGAGTTTTAGGGTGGAGGTTTTGGGGTGGGATGTTCTGTTGTTGATATTTTTAAAACACTGTGCCATAACAAGACCTGGCTAAAAAAAATGAAGACTGGCATGTAGCCTATTAAATCAAATCCAGGCTCAAGGATAGTTTTAAAATATTTGGACTGCTTCTGACCTGGCTAACATCCTGCTGTGGGTAGGATCATCACAGCTACCAACACACACCTAACCATGGAGCAGTAGGGACTGTGCTCCTATAATAAGGGCTCCTTAAGCAGCATAGACAAGGCTGTACTTTTGATAACTATTTTAGGCTATTTTGATAGCTATTTTAGGCATTCCTTTCATAGCACAGTTAACAAAAAAACCCAAAACCCCAAAAACTTAGCTATCCAGACCTGGGCAGGGCAGTGGGGAGAAAACACTGTGGCTGTATGTGGTACATGGTGTGCTGTGAATGTGGTTGGGGTTGGACAGATCACTGGATTTGCTGCTTTTAGCTTACTGAATGTTGTTTCTAATTTGGTGTGGAGAACAATGTGCTCCAGAAGTTACATGTGAAACAGGCCATTTTGCCTTTAATCGTGGTGAGATAGTGAAAGAAGCTGGCTGTAACATATGACTTATTTTATGTACCTTAGGAATAGTAATCATGCACTAGGCAGCACAAATTTCTGACTCGCAAAAATTCTTTAGGTGCTCACATTCAAAGGGAAATTGTACAATTTTTCGCTCATTATGAAGTTAAATTTGGTTTAACTGAGGAAAAAAAAGGATTGTAGCTTACCACAGTTAAGTACTGCAACATCCTCCCATCAACTCTGGATTCATGAAACTGGTCTTTGTACTGAGGTAAGCCAATGTCATCGAGCCATCCTGCAGGTATGAGAGCAATATCCAGATCAGTGAGAACAAAGCCCTTCTCCCCTTTTGTCTGGCCTGGCTCCTTTCGAGGCATTCAGGTAGCTCATTCAACCTATTCCCCTTTCCAAAGGACAGCCTCTTGCTAGTAACCTGAAAGCAATTCCCTCCAAACAGCTTTGTCCATACTACCCCTGTGATACTTGACATACAGCATGTGATGGAGCACACACCTGCAGCATAATGTAGCCCTTGCTGGATTGAGCATCCCCATTTAGTTCCCAGCAATCTGTCAGACTTCCCCCGTGGGAGATCATACTGTAAGCTCTATATTTGGATGTCAAGAAAAACATAAAAAATCCTCAATTCTACTGTGGGGAAACAGTGTTTTTAAAAAATATTTGGTAACTGCTTAAACACATATCAGGCATCCCATTCATAGCAGTGGGGAAAATTCCTTTCCAAACAATTCCATGAGAGTTCAAACACTTACGTGTCACCCAGATATGATCAAGTTGTGCAGACTTCTCATCCTGTTTTGCATTTATTGACTTGATGGCCAAAACTAATTTCTTCCTGTGCAGTGGATGCTTTATTCCCATTTCCTGCAAAAATTAACCATTATCAAAGATTTTGCCTCGCCTCTGGCTCTTTTGATCGCTGAGGCACCTACAAAAATTGATACTATGCACTTCAGAAAGGCAGAACTGCCAAGGGTTTGAAGGGGCCTGGTTATACAGAACCAACAGGTGTGGCTGTTTGAGAGAAACAGGGACAGAAAACGTACCTTTTCCATGTCCTGAGGTGTGGCAGTTAACAGTGTGTGGCCCGACGTCACCCACTGCCGCGCAAAAATGACGTACTGGCCGAGACCAAAGTCCTCAAGCCAGTTACAAACTCTCTCAGTGCTCCACTGGGCAAAGGGAGCGTTGTAGTCACTGAAAAGTACAAGGAACATTGGAAAAATCTTAAAGAAAAGAATGAATATTTGCATTGGAAAGCTCATCACATGCCAGAGGCAGCACTGCAGCAAATCTGTCAGTGTGCCCTGCCCTGTGCAGCAAGAAAAGCCAACAGCCCCTCTGGCAGTAGGTGCTGTGGTACCAGTGTCCTGTTAATTTGCCTGCCCAGCCACAACTGGGGGTGTGGACAGGAATTTCCCATTTTCTATTTGAAAAGAGGAAAAAGGGGAATTGCTGAATCCTCATCATTATGCAGGTGTTCTCACAGGATAAGGTGAAATTTTTGACACTCCACCAAGGAGTGAGTGCTGCAACCTGCAGCTGCAGGAGTGTGGACAGGGGAGCTTCTCGGGATACATTTGCTACCAGAGAAATTCTTGCCACTTGTGAAATTCCACGCGTAGTGAAGAATGCATTTCACAAGAGGAGGGTTTGGCTGTTCAGCACATTTATAACACAACCCCACGATGTGCTGTGTAAGGTGAAGAAGGAGCCATTACCTCTTCTGGCCTTTGGTGTCCTTGGAGCGGGATAACCGAGGCCCAGCTGTAGCACGGAGGCCACCTCTTCGGAACTCTGCCAACCCCAGGTCGTCTGCAGGGAAGTTACCTGACTGAGTTCTTCTTATTCTTGCAAGACAAGAGTGCCATGACAGTACTATTAGCTTGTGACAGAGGACATGGGTTTCTGTGGAAACTACAGTGACAACTAGAGGCTGTATTAACCTTCCTGTAAATCACAAATGCTGAATTCCAGTGGTAGCTGAGAAAGTTCCAGCAAATGCAGTCTAGACCTAATCCTGGGGGGAAAAAAGAGCTCCACAGAGCAGCCATAACACTTCAATCCAATTAATAATCCAGACTTGGAAATGGCTGATGTTTCTGAAGTGGCTCAAATGAGCACAGCACAGCTCAGTCCCCCTGCTTTTTGTTCCTCCTGTTTTCTCTCATTTTTTTACCTGATGCCTTCTGATGTAATGAACAACCTACTATCACTTAATTTTTCATGGCTAATGAAACTGCTGGCATGCTAAATTAATAGCATTAAGATGACAGCAGTGTCATATTTCCTTCACCAGCATGACGCTGGGAACACTCCCATCCATTTTTCTACACCCCTGTCTATGTTCACAGAGACACCCATGCAATCCCAGAGCTGCTTCCTCTCCTTTTCCTGAATTGTAGTTTATTCTTGATGTAGATAATTGTAGCTTTTGCTGGGAATTGGATTAATTCTCAGCTGAAATGCTTCGAGAGTGAATTAAAAAAATGACCTTACTTTCCCCAGATTTTCTTGATCCCTTTTGGACTCTTTCTGTTTTCTGGAGACCATGGAGATTGTGGACTTGAATCCATTCCCGAAGAAAGAGGTGAAGGGTCATCTGAGACTACTGTACCATCCATGTTCTCTGTTTCTCCTGGGTTAAGAACAGCATTACAGTCACATTTTGTACTAATTATTGGTAAAGTTTTTGTCTGGGAGACTGATATTTTAATGCAGACCATAATAAAAAAGTACAGATACCTGTAAAATTGTTCTTGTATAAAAAAAAAAACCCAAAACATGCTCAGAAGATGAAAAAAACAGTAGCTGTAGATTTGATACAAAAAAAGAAAATAATAAAACATGGGTAAAATAGTATTGTTATTTCAGTCATTTGTATTTAACTACATTATTTTAATTCATTTAAGGTCTTCAGACTTTTGCCTTGCCTGCTGTTTAATACCATAACTCCTCCATCACAATCAGTGGGAATTTTTCTGACTTCAGTGAAAACAGAATGAAACCAGGAAAAAGTGTCTTAAAAAGAAATCCCATCTGAATGCCAATACAGCAAAAGCTGTTACTTCATTTCAGTACTGCACATAGGGAATTCAGACTGGATGACCCACTGGGTGTTAGCATTTCACAGAGAAAGGGAGGGGGGAAAAAAAGAAAGAAAAAAAAGTAAGCAGCAAAACTGGTGTTAAAGTTGCATCTTTTTTGGATACGGTACCTAGCACTGGTGCACTGACACTCCTGATGCGATCTTCAGTCATCCCAAGAAGCAGAAAGCCAGATGAAGAAGCAAAGAAGATATAAAACACCAGCAAAATAAAGTTACAGAAGAGCAAAGTAGTAAGCTAAGCATTAAAAGCAGGAACAAAAAGAAAAGAAGCAGTTATGCTTGACATGGAAGTGAATATGCTTTGGTGTGCACAAGCCCCAAGAATTCTCAATACAGATCATCCTGAATAGATAGGGATGATCAATTATCTGTTTTGGGTTTGTTTTTGTTTTAATTATTCTTTGCCCATTTAAACACATTAAGCATATACTACAGAGCTCCACAAAGCCTGCAGAGTATCTGAAATGAAGCAAATGTCTAAGATTACATCGAATTCCTCTGAATTTGGAGGAATTGGAGGTGTACTGAGTTTACTGCACAAGAAACAAACCAACCTGCACAAAAAATTCTTTTAACTCAGTGTATTTAAGAAGCCATTGCTTGTTTCTAGAAAAAGAACATTTTCCTTTACGAGCTCACCCATCCTTGGATAATCCTGCAGTTAAAGACATAACAGCATGGCTCATGCCATTGCCTACAATGTTGCAGTTACAGAAAAACCCTTTAAAAAAAAAACCCTAAACTACCACATCCTGTGGCAATCTTGAAACTACAGCATCCTGGAAGATTTTAGGACCACCAGGCCTTAAAATAAACCAACCCCCACCAAATAAAAAAAAGCCAGCCAAACAAAAAAACCCCACGTGACTTTTAAACTGTAGAAACACCTCAGAATCACAAGGGATACTCTCATGCCTGAGCTTCCCAAGCCCTTTAGTCCTTGGGAAATACCTGGTTTTGTGCCTCACTGTAACACTTCTTGTCAATAAATCTGTGTTTAAGGTGTCACTAAAAAGAAATTATTACAGGCTTCCACAGGACTGTGGTTGTGGACTAACAATACATTTGTAGTTCCAAAATCCACGGGTGTTTTTCTGCATTTAGCAAGTTAAATTTTCACTTGTGGGTCCCCACAAGCTACAGCAACTGACAGTGCTGGATACAAGGATTTTTATTTGAAATGTGCACGTTAGTGCTACTTGTACTGTAAAGTTTCACCCACTAAAATGCAGTGGGGATGGCAAGGAATGGGTTTGTTTGTTTTATTTAATACCCTAATCTAGTGTGCATTTTTAAAAGCATTGATGGTGTACTTGTACTTGGCTGTGCATTTTTGTTTGCTTGCCTTTTTTTTTTTTTAAGAGAACAGATGAACAAGCTCAAGCACTGGAAGCATGTCTGGAAAAAATACTGCTTGTTCATACTGTGAATATGTCTGCCTCTCTAAAAGTTATGATTTTTAATCAGAGATTCGCTGACTTTCAGAAGGCTCCGTCCACAGTGTCCAAAACCCTTCATTACTGAAGCTATCAATGATTTCAGCAAATTGTGTTGTCAAATGCAACAGAAAAGAACTCTCCAACTTAAAGCCATCCTTTACTCCCCAGTGAGCTAATTTTTTGGTACGTTGTTTAAAAAAAAAAAAAAAAAGGCAGTAGAACACTCCCTAACTGAATCATGCAAAAACAACACCATTGTTCTGGCACAGCAGATTATATCCCATGCTCTGTCCCAATCCCTCAAACAGTTTGCTTTCTCCCCTCCCCATAACCCTCTCAGAGAGCTGTGGGTACATACTCAGGCCGGGGACGCCGTTTTCCTCGCTCATCCCACATCCCTCCGGAGAGTGATACGTTCCCTGCTCTCCATTCTGCAAGGGTCGGGGCATCTTTCCTGGCAGGGTTTGGTACTTGCTGCCCTTCACAACTGGCTTACTCTTTGTTTTTTCGAAGAGGAAAAAATAAAATAAATAAATTAAAAAACAAATCAAATCACTTGCAGCATTTGCAACCCAGTAAACAACGATTTCAAAGTTGGGGAAAAGTGCTTGAAGTTCACGGTTCAAAATGACTCCACTCCCTCCCTGTTCCTGCTTACAGATAACTCAATTTAAACCCAACAGTCAGCTCACAGTTTTCTAGCTAAGACACAGTCTTGTCTTCCCTCATCTGCTCCTCCCACTCTAGCCAGACTCTATATTACATTAAAATATATGTCAAATATTACCTGTTTTTTGTCATAAGAACGTTTCTAACTGCCTTCCCCTCTAGGCCCCTGGCACTATATATAATTACTTGGTCCTTATAAGGTCAACTTTGATAGTGCCAAAAATGCATTTGGTTACTTCTCAGACTGTTTTTTTTATTCTGCCATTTCCCCCCCCCTTATTTTTCACCAGACTGTCTCTGTTTCTGCCTCACAATTTTATCTTGCTGGAATTTGAACCGAAAGTATTTATACACCTCAAATTTTCTCAAACATATTTCCCACCACCATTAATAACAGTAAAGGAATCGACAGCAAAGTCAGGGTACAGAAATTTAACATTTGCAAGAACTGAGATCTCTTTGCACAGACAAAATTACAAATGCAAGGGTTTTTTTTTAAAAAATAATTACAGCTAAACATATAGTTGCCAAATATACAAATATCATTGCCAATTCTATTACAGAACCTAAGCACAAGGTATACTTTTGATAGATGCTGGAAAAAAAAAGCATAGACTGAACTGTATTTTAGGGCTGACCCCACAAGTTTTGTCCACATCAAGCTAAAGTAAGAGTCTAAGCTTTGCTCTCCTGCACATATTCAGTGTCACAGGCATCACAGCCCCCAAGCAGTGGTCCCCAAACTCTCACTGTATTGTACTGAAAGGGAACTGGTACCTAGGCTTTGCTAAAAATAGAATATCTCTTAATTTTCCTTGCATTCAAGTGATCATCTCACTTGGGGATCTTGCTCCTTGTACAAGGGTAGATGAGAAGGTGCCTAATAAATCTGATAGTTTTGAGCCTAAGAAGATACTTCTCCAGGCAAAGTACATGTGTTTTGGAAATACAGTGTTGAGACTTCTTGAATACTGGCTCCATATGAAAAAATGGATGAGCCACCACTCTGGGAAAAATGTATATCCCAAAACTGTCAAAACAGGGGAACAGAGATGCTTTTCGAGAAAACCTGCAGCTCCAATTGACATTAGTGGGAGTGGTGTCCATTAAACATGTGTTTTGGAATAAACTGGTCAATGTTTCAATCACAGAACGGAGGTTTTGTAGGAAAACTTTATACTGAAAACATGCAAACCATATTTAGTATACAGGAACATACAGTATGCTACTATTTAGTAACCCCATTCTAACAAAATTGTTTTAAAACACTGTCTGGGACAGGATGAGACATTAAATATTTAATGAGATAACTACTGCTTTAATCTATTCTTATTTCAAGGCCTAGAGGGATCTTTGGATACTGCAGCTGCAGGCCAGATTAATCAGTTCCTCAACTCCTGCTCCTTTTTTGGCAGTTGCAGGAGTACATCCCAACTTGTACCAAAATTTGTATGAGTAGAAAAATTGCTTCTAACATCAGCACTGTATTTCCTGAAACCGACTGACTTCAGCTTCTAACCTCATGTAACAACTTTTAGATAAAAAGAAAAAAAAAAAAAAAAAGATTTCCCTCTCAAATCTTTACCCCTGTCCTCAGAGTTTGTCAGCACTGGAACTATGGAAACATTTTAAAAAAAGAAAATGAACATAAAATGAAAACCCAGCCATACCATCACAGCACATCACAACAGAGAATTGTTAGGAAAGGTTGCAGTTAATATACCTCTTGTTCTACAACAGGCTGTGCTGGTTTTCCATCTACATACTACGGAGTTTCAGGGAGGGCAATTTCAAAGTTTTATGGAAAAAAAAGCAACAGACAAATGTTAGTATTAACATACATACACAGAACATCAATTGTAGTCTTATTGCTATAGTGATGGTGCTTAATGTATGGACAATATATTACAAGGACTGTTATCTTTTCATTTAATTTCAATCCAATATTTAATACCAATTGTGTTTGCTCATTCTCCACTCTACAAAATTTGGGCCCTGTCTAGGTTCTGCTGTGATCAAAGGAATTTTGCTGTTTTCAGGCTTCTGGGTGGTCCCTCCAGACTTACTTTAAGCTGGGAACATAACAGCTGTTTTAAAGTTAGAGCAGTATGAAAATGACTGACATAAAATAACATACACAATACTGCATGTACCCAGCTGAAATCATACAGAGCTGTGGTAGAAGAGAAGTGATAAAAATACCAGCATGGTTAGGTCAGGGACACCAGTGTGGCTTGCAATTTTTTTATTATTATTATTGCTGGAAGGAAATGGAATTTGAGCTTTATGCAAAGCAGAAGAGCTCCAGTAAACAGTGGTGCTAGCACAGGTTCTCTTGGAATTAATGCAAAAAGCAGTCTGTCATGCTGGGTGAGCAAAACAAGTTTTCTTGGCCTTAAGTTTTGGTTGTAACATTCCCATTTAGCCACTCACTCATGCACAGGGAGGTCTCTTTCACCAAGAGGCCTCGTGCCTAAATCAGGGCACACAATTTAAATGCCTTGCTGAACATGGGGCTGGCTTGCTACAA